TTAAAAGGATTATTAAACCAGATAAATAATAAAATATGTTCTTTAAAGTTTACTTGGATCTAAATAACGGGGGTTATTATGAATAAAACCATCCAGGTGGGAGAGAAACAGGACCCTAACCGGTTTAAACAAGAGTTTTAAATTGTGAGCAAACAGAAATAGATCAGCTAAAGGAAAGTAAGCATGACTAGAAATAAAAAAATTAAATAAAAATTTGCATAAAAGCAAGCTTCTGGTCAGCAGCATTAGGAATTTAAAAAGTATTTAAACAACTGAGTTCAGGATTTTATTGTTGTTGTTTTTTTCCATTATAAAGATGCATCATTATGATTTGTATAAAGCCAGAGTGACTAGCCAGTGAATCCAGTAGATCTGTGTCATAACTTACATTTTTGTTGAAACTTCTAAATATTTGTCTGAGAAATTGTCAAATTTCAGGCTTTAATAGGAAACGTGCAGCAACTCCTCAATGTGTCAAAGGTTCGTCATGCTAGAATGAAATGTCTCAATCAGGTTCTGCTAATGACCCGGTCTAAAAGCTGAAAGAATCCTCCAAGACTGAGTTTGAAACTCCTGCTCTTTGAGGATTGATTTCATATTTCTCTTTAGTATTGTTTGAAAATTAGTGGCCTGTCTTAATGTTAATGTGATGGATTAAAAATATGACAGTTGGAACATTTGATTAATTTTTAAATATAAAGGAAAATCTTTTTCTACTTTTGATATTTCTTGATGATAAAGCAAAATTCTACAATTTACAGATAAAGTTTAGGAAGTCCTTTACTAATAAATTAAAAGCTCTTCTTCAAGACTTTGCTCTTTTAAAACTTGTTGGACCAAATTTCTTTTAGATGGAATCTTGGCTTCATTTTTAATATTTATATAAAACAGGATGGTATATGAAGATGATTTAAATGTGCTCTTACAGATGGGATGGAGGTGGATGCTGCAGCGATGGAGGCCGGTCAGTTTGAAGACGCGGACGTTGAACACTAGTAAGGACAGACCTTTGAATTAGTAGATGTATTTAGACAATTTAGTATTTGATTTTAGTATTTGTGATATATATTTATTCAGATTCCAGTTTGTTTAAAATAATTTTGTGCTAAACTCATACTCTAAACTGATTATTAAAAATCCTGCTGATTTTATTTTGTTTGGAAAATCTAAATCCAAACAAATGTTACAGGCCTTCTCATGCACATGTTTGGCTCCCCCTGCAGGAGGAAATCGTGTCTACATCCACACAAAGCACCAGTGGGATCAGAGAAGGAGACGGCAGCACTTATTTACGGCTTCCTGCTCTGACCCACACCCTCTTCCTGTTCTGGGAATTTTCTGTTCTCTCCTCTTGTGCTGAACCTCTTCCTAGTCTCCCCATATTTCTTGCGCTAAAGCTCACGTGTTGCAGTAGGACGATGTTTTTTTCGGTCAAATCTTGAAGATGCAGCGAGCTACCGATGAACTGGAAGGCTGCTGGAACATAAACAAACCCTGTTGACTGTATTAAAACATTTTGGGTTGTACATAATTTAACTGTTTCCCCTCCTTTGTCTTTGTAAGAAATGATCAATAAAATAATTTTGTAACTTTTACATTGTTTCTTTTTTCTCATATGATTTATTTGTAAATAAAAACAATCTCGTTCCTTCAGCATGATGCTGAAGTTGGGCATTAATATCAGCATCTACAGTACAGACCAAAAGTTTGGACACGTCTTCTCATTCAGAGAGTTTTCTTGAAAGAAAATTGTAGATTTACACTGAAGGCATCAAGACTATGAATCAACACGTGGAATTATATAGTTACCGGTAACAAAAAAGTGTGACAAAAACTGAAAATATGTCTCATATTCTAGGTTCTTTAAAGTAGCCACCTTTTGCTTTAATTACTGCTTTGCACAATCTTGGCATTCTCTTGATGAGCTTCCATAGGCAGTCACCTGAAATGGTCTTCCAACAGTCTTGGAGTTCCAGAGTTGCTTTGCACTTGTTAGTCCTTTTGCCTTCATTCTGTGGTCCAGTTCACCCCAAACCATCTGGATTGGGTTAACGTCCGGTGATTGTGGAGGCCAAGTCATCAGGCGCAGCACCCTATCACTCTCCTCCTTGGTCAATTAGTCCTTACACAGCCTGGAGTTATATTTGGGGTAATTGTCCTGTTAAAAAATAAATGCTGGTCCAACTAAATGCAAACCAATAGAATAGCATGCCTCTGCAAGATGCTGTGGTAGTCATTTTGGTTCAGTTTGCCTTCAATTTTGAATAAATCCCCGACAGTGTCACCAGCAAACCTCCCTTCGCACCATCACACCACCTCCTCCATGCTTCACGGTGGGAACCAGGCATGTAAATCTATCCGTTCACCTTTTCAAGACACGATGGTTAGAACCAAAGATCTCAAAGTTGGACTCATCAGACCAAAGCACAGATTTCCAATGGTCTAATGTCCATTCCTTTGTTTTTTTAGCCCAAGTAAGTATCTTCTGCTTGTTGCCTGTCCTTAGAAGTGGTTTCCTAGCAGATATTTTATCATTAAGTGTGGCATTGACCTGGTCTCTAATCTGAGCTGCTGTTAACCTGTGATTTCTGAGGATGGTGACTTGGATGAAGTTATCCTCAGCAGCAGAGGTGACTTGGTCTTCCTTTCCTGGGGCGATCCTTATGTTCGCCAGTTTCTTTGTAGCCCTTGATGGTTTTTGGGACTGCACTTGGGGACACTAAAAGTTTTGACAATTTTTCTTACTGACCTTCATTTCTTAAAGCATTGATGGCCGCTCGTTTTTCTTTACTTAACTGCTATTTTTTTCTTGCCATAATAACAATTCTAACAGTCTATTCAGCAGGACTATCAGCTGTGCATCCATCTGACTTCTGCAAAACACAAGTGATGGTCCCAACCCCATTTATAAAGCAAGAAATCACACTTTTTAAACCTGACAGTAGACTCCTGTGAATTGAAAACCATTTCAGCTATCCAAACTTTTGGTCTGTACTGTATGTTGACAAATTTTTTTCTTAAGTTTGATATAAATTATTTAGTTGACAAATGTTGTCGATCTTTTTATCTATATGAACATTGATTTATTTGATTTGCTAAAACCCTGATTTAGTTGTAATAGTTTGCCGTCGCGTCAGACCAACTATGGGTCTTCCTGTTGCTTCTCTTCATTAATTCTCTGCATTGTTTTCTAAGCTAGTCATCTTGAGTCCTATAGAAAACAGCTGGATATATAGTAGATATGGATTATCTGCTAATTACACTGGAAAAAAACAGCACTCTGCTGAATAAATTGATTAATTTTATCAGTCAAGTTTATCTAATTTCACTAGCTATGAAAAACCAAGATAAATCAGGTAAAGTTGGGATAAAACCCATGATCACCGTTCTACAAGGCTGCATTGTTTTAAATTCGGCCACCATCTTGGTTTCCCTTCTAGATTTTTCAACAGGCTAAATACCACACTGCTCTCTAACCACTAACACTTAACTATTAAGTCTTAATTGCAATAAAGTCACACTTGCAGCCGTGGAAGGCGCCTTAATTAAAGGTGGGGGGTATAAACAAGAAGGGCGCGTCCTCTTCCCTCCAATGGAAAAAGAAGGCAGTGTGTCTTTGTGTGTCTAGCCATGTCTCGCAGAGGGACATAAAATATAACATTTGCCCCGTCTTAAAACAAATATATATATTCAAATAAAACTATTTCAAAGAGTAACTTCGATTTTTGAATTAATTACGTCTTCTTATACCTATCTTGTGATTTTTCGTCAGTGTGACAAAGATGCAATAGATTTCAGATGCAGATGCATGCATTTCCTCTGCCATCAAACCGCTGTTACACCTGCTGCCAGCGAACCTGCCCTTAATGCAGACTATTTGGACTGATCGGTCCACTCGCCCTCTCCACTAAGTGGTTTGGGATGGCACTTAATGTGGCTGACCCTCCACGGGAACACACATACTGAAGGTTAGTGCTTAGGGCCTGGTTTGGGATTAGGCCTTAGTAACACTGCAAACCCAGAACTGCATGAATAGTCCAAATTGTACTTGCTGTTTAGAACAGATAAAACATATTATGTTAAAACATAACATAAAAGTATCGCAATATTTCATTAGATGATATTGATTAGAAATGTGCCTGAATGGATTGTAAATATTTAAAGATATTTATAGTCCAACATGTTTAATTTTCTTTTATATAACATTTAAACCTCCAGCCGGCAGTGCAGCCCCCAAGAGCAACAGCAAATCCTTTGTCATGGTAAAATCGCAATGTATTCACTGAAAAAAAAAAAAAAGCAACCACTTTTAGCATTTACTTAATCAGATTTAGTTACTTTAACACAACTACTTCATGTTAGAAGGGTAGGACATAAAACAGTGTATATTATCTGTTAATATATTGAGATACTCATTGTATAGGTAAATCACTGCGATTCATGCTCCTAATAATTATGAGGTCCATATAAGGAGCTTATTTTAAACATTGCACTGTTTTGTTTATTGCAAGGTTCTCTCATTCTAATAGGCTGAGCCCAGTAGGTACTTCTTGGCACATGGGCACATCGCGATAGTCAAAACCATTGGGTAGATTTGAATATGTTGCTACTTTTAACTAAAATGTAAGACATACAGCTTATGAACTATTAATGGATGGTATTTAACATCCATCAAAATCAGTTCTTAGAGTGTAGGTGAAAGATTTTGATAGCACTGGGTTTCTTAAAGAGCACATAGTGCGACAGGCTAAGTTATTTTAATGATCAGATAAAATATTTAGATGTTTTTGGCAGCAAAATAAAATAAAAAACAGACATTTAAAAGTTTTTGCTATGATTCCAGGGTGGCACTGCGGCCAGAGCTTATCAGGGGGCATTTTAAAGAGGCCTTCATGGTGGGGAAAAGTTAGTCCATCCAGGTTCTGTGCATCGTGAGAAAACAGCAGCTACGTTTACTATTGGGTTATGTAATTATTTCCAAGTGAAACAACAGTAAACGGAACAATTGAATCTGTTTTTATTTCACTGGAATCTGAAGGCACCAGTGAACAGCTGTGCAAAAAGTAAAGGACATGTTGTGCTGAATGTTAAGTTGCAGTACATTTCTGTTTCAGAATAACACATTAAACAATAACACTTGTTACACTTCAATGTTTGGAAATCTGTTAGAAATATTTCACATAAAAATATGTTTTTGTATATTATCCAAGAATTATTCTATCCACATATAAGTTGCATATATATATATATATATATACCCTCAAGTGTAGCCTGTTGTTGAGTGGCTCTTTAACTTAAAGGTTGGTGGTGTGACTCCACCAAATGGCTGGATTATATCATAATACTTTGGGGCTTGTTGGTTTAGTTAGAGCCAAACTCTTCTGTCCTTGGAAGGCTGCAGGTTTCCTGGTTGGAATCCTACAGAATGCTATTCTGGATTCCTAAGGGATGCTCTTTTTTTGGCATAAGACTTTTCCTTGTGTTGTAGTTGAATTTGTTTAGAAAATGAGATAAATGTTTAAACTGTCTCAGGTGTTAAAGATTATTTCTTCTTATAAAGTCAGAAAACTTCCTTAGAGAAATAATCTTATAGTATTAAGAAGTTACCTCTCCTGAATTTTAAACAAAGCCATCTATAGATAGATTACTTAAAGATTAAATTACATTTCTTTTTTACTTGTGCTTCTGATCCAAATTCTATTAAGTCTCTCAGCACTAATAGTTTTTTTTTTTCAGGCAAAGCAGCTTAGTAGTAACTCTATTTGTTAGGATTTCCATCTAATAGGCTCTGGGGTCAGCATGCCGGCCGGCCCCCTGTATGCTCATGTCTGCTTCTTGGCCCGCAGCGGGAGGTGAAGAGACGGAGACTTGGGTGAAAATGCAGGCTTGAGTTTATCTGAGAGAAGCACTGAGCTCATCATACCTGAAATGACAAGAGAATTATGAGAAATTATTTTAAAACAATTTCAGAAGAAAAATCAGTTCAAAAGTTGCAAGATGGTGATCTTATAATTTTATGAATATGTATATTAATATTAAATCAGCATGTGGCAAACTTTATATCCTGTTTTTTAAGCTTCTAATAGTGCGCCGTCTGTATTTATAAAATGAGAAGCACTTAACCTGAGAAAGAGTTTAACAGAAATATGGGAAACTGACAAGAGAAACTATAGTCAGTAACATCTAAGGTGTATCCTTCTCAAATCAACACCTTTGTTTATAGATGTTCAAGATCTGCCTGTTTTTCAGTGTAGTCCTGTTTCTCTGACTGTGACTGGCTGGATATGCTCCCTTCATCCTCTGACATGGAAGCTGGCTCAGAGCTCATCTGCCTGGCTGTGTGTTTCCTGGACAGGGCCGCCAGTGGATCTGGTTTACATTTAACTTTTTTTTTTATATATCTGCTTCTGTCTCCTTGAACCCCAGTCGGCCTCGGCAGATGACCGCTCAATCAGTCTGGTTCTGCTGCATGGTCGTTCGTGTCAAAGGGGAGTTTTTCCTCTCCACTGTCGCTACAAGCATGCTTAGTGTGAGGGATTACCTTAGAGTCAATGAGTCACTGCAATCAACTGGTTTTCCTTAGATAGAAAACGTTGAATCAATTTGACTCTATGATCTGGTTGAATTGTCTCTGTAAAGTGTCTTGAGATGTGTGTGTTGTTAATTGGCGCTATATAAATAAACTGAATTGAATTACTTTTCAGTGGATTTAAATGCAATAATAATAATAATAAAATGCAATAAACTACTCTCTTTTAAAATTAATTTAGACAAAGTGAGAGAAATGTTAAAATCAGAACTTGTGATCAAAACCTCTTACATCATAACATAGAAAGTAAAAACAAAAAACAAAAAAAAAACTATCACACTAAGTTGCAACTTTTCTAGTAGAATATAAGAGTCAGATCTGTTAACAGAAAGTCTTTTAAAAGTGTGCCGGGAAAAAAACGAGTTATGAGATTACAGCACCTAAGCAGCTTATCAGGTTTATGGTGACACTCTGAGTATAAGCATCCTGCTGAGAACTAGAAGCAGGCAGTCACACAAGACAATGATAAAAAATATAATCTGAGGTTTTTTAAGTTAGAGATGATAATCGCTCTGCTTGAGGTACTTCTAACAAAATATTCAACATTATTAAACACAATCTGACTGCTTATGAAGTGGGAGCAGCTGAAGGATTTCTTATTACTTTCTTTTTCATGGATCTTACCCAAAAGTGGACCCAACCAATACACGAAGCAGTAATCAAGGAATGAGTTTCCACTGCAGGGGAACTGTGTGGAGAAGGCCAACGCTGGGTTAAACACAGCTCCGGTCACCCTGCCACCTTAAGGACAAACAATAACACAACCAGTTAGACAGCTTCAACAGTGTTTCATCTAAAGCCTGAGGTATAAGCAGTACTGTGTTCTTCCTCGTTCACCAGCCCCCTCCCCATAGCGCTGATCACAGAGGGTCACCTTTGTCACTAATCTCCTCTCTGCATCAATTAAGGTTCTCTGAGGAGTTTCTCTGTTTCTTCTCCCCATCAGTGAATTCAACACAGGTTTCCATAATTGCTGCAAGTTTACATTTTCAGCGCTGTAGAGACCAGACATCAACCAGCAGTAGAAAAAATATTATATTTATTGCCCTTCAGTGGAGAAATCAGCTGCATCAGCAGCAAAAGGAAGCACGAAATTACACATAAAGATAAAACAAAAATATTATGATCCTCTACTTTTTTCATTTTGGTTTTCATTTTTGTGCATCTCTGCTGTTTAAGTTCCTGCCTTTGAGTTAATTTTTTTTCCCAGAACGGTCCATATTAGCTCGTTCAGGTAGTTTCTTAAAGGTATAGTGGAGGAATTTTTTTTTCTCCAGGTGGATCATCTAAATAAGTGGTTCTCCTAATTGTCAATCATTCTTGGGATTGTTTACGCAATGCCGTCCTATGTCCTCGTCCCCATTTTCATTTACTGGTGGTGAGTCTGATATAGTGGCAAAATTGCAAATCTTCTTTTGGAAAATGAGCTTGTATGAGTGATGCAAACAGCAACTGTTAAAGTTTGCATGAGGAGAAATGAGCTCATGCATGCGTTTAATAGACGTTCCCTCTCGGGAGTGGGTACAGGGTTTTGTCCTTTTTTTTAAAGTAGAGAGGTCTTTTCCAAAATTCGCAAAAATCCTCCACTATACCTTTAAGTTTTCTGTTCTTTCTAGTTTATTCCCTTAGGCCAGTATTAGTTTCTTCCCTCTGTTAATAATGCTCTGTATTTTAGCTTGAATTGAGTCAGACACAAAACAGACAAATGTTGGAAAAGTCTCTTCCCTTGGCTTTAGAAAAATACTAATTTAGAATATGGCAGTAATCTACATCTGATAAAGGTCAAAGCCAGAAAAACCCAAAGAAAACAAGCAAATAGACCAAGGGCGTATCATTTAGTACATTAAGTGAGCCTAAAAAGCCAAGGTTACAGGTTGCTGATCTAACAGATGCAAACTATGATCCTATTGTAGCACTATTGAGGCATAAGTCTGCAACGTTTAAATAATTGTTGATGTAAATTGTAAAGGCAAATTTTCATTTGCTGTAAGGGACAAATCGGTTTCAGTCTCTTCTGTCATTGTGAAAAATTCATTAAAAAATTACAAATTATCTAAAACAGGTTAAAACATCCTAAAATAAGTGTATTTTCATTTAAATAGAGGAGTTAATTATGGTGATCTGTCAAAAAAGATAAATATTAAAATAAGATAGTTAGATATTATGAATGTGAAAAAAGCGAATGAGATTTCTTTTTTATTTTAAACATAAATTATCTTAGTCTGTTGGAGAAGAGTGTACCGGCTCATATCAAAGAAAATATACATTTCTTTTGAGAAAAAAACCCTGTACATTTTACAGTGTGTTTTCAGTTAAGGAGCGATAATTATAACAGCAGCTATGGGGGCACTGGCCCCTGGTGGCCCCCTGTCTCATCGTCTGTGTAATCTTGAGGTATGGGTTTAATTCAGCTCAAATGAGGCCATAGTTTATATTAATTACATTGAGGCAGTAAAAAAAGAAAGCAACTCGGCCTACCCGCATAAACCGCTGTTGTTATGGCAGCAGCCACTGCGTGCACGCGGTATCTCTCCTCCACAGACTGTGTGTGCGTGATGACGGTCTGAACAGCGAAGGCGCACACCAGCTCCACGGCAGCAGCTTCAGGCAGAGAGGCGTGGATCGCGCTGACACACGGGAACCCGAGCAGCTTATGCCGGCTGTGCAGTCCCGACAGTCCCATACCCCAGATCACCGGCACGGCCACGCGCGCAGCCACAGCCGCGGCGAACTGGCACGCGATCCGTCCTAACGCGCACCCGGCGGAGAACCTTGCGCGGTACGCGTGCTCTAGCGCACCGCAGGGGTTTCCCACGGCTCCTCTGAAGGTGAGCCCGTGAGCCACAGACGTCACATACGTCAAGGTGAGCGCGAGCTGAGGCGGGATGCCGCCGACCTCAGAGAGCAGCTTGAGCTCGTGCGTGCAGCAGCAGAGCTGGAAGGTAGACACCAGCTCCACGGCGTAGGAGGAGAGCCCGGGGTCCGCCAGGGCCCGCACCAACATCCTGCGGGTCACATCGCTCAGCAGGACGACCACCGCAAGCACAGACAGAGATACGGCCACGTCCCCAGTCATGGCTCCGGTCTCTGGGCGGGGCTGAGCGGGTTTTCAGCCTCGGATCTGGCCGGTGGATGTTTGTATGGAGGCAGGTTAGCGCTCCTCTACCCCAGAGGATGCAGGGTCCATCCGGGACCAAATAACGCTCCTATCCCGGTGCTGCTCACATGGTGCGGAAGTAACTGAGCCTCAATGTTTTTCTCCTCCTCTCCTGCATCAGCTGCAGAGATTTCCCTTCACTGTCCTCTCTCTATCATATGTTAATAAAACCAGACTGATTCTTCATTCTATGCAAATGGATCCATTTGTTTCTGCGGGAGATAAGTCGATTATTCAGCAATTCCTGTTTATAAAAAGGAAGTTTTCCCTCTAATTACTCAAAATAAACAACCTTAAACACATGTGTTGTAAACAGGGTTAGTCTTTAATTAAAAGGTCTCACAAATTTAGAAAAACTTGCTAAGCAGGGCCTTTTTTAATTAAAATTTTATTCAAGGAACTGGAGAGCTCCTTCAGTTATCGTTATCACAGATCCTAGTTCCTCCATAAGACTCTCTACCCACCACTGTTCCCAACAACCTCAATAAATTGTTACATTCAAGCTGATTTTTGCACAGTCTGTCATTTTGCACATCTCAGATATTGCTGCTATTTTCAAATAGCCATTACTGTAAAAATGTCCATAGATATTGGTTATTTATTCTCCAGGTTCACAGTTTTCTATTATTAAAACAATTTACAGTACAGTATTTTATTTGTCTATTTTTTTAGCTCTTCACTATTATGTTATTCTTATACACCTTTCTAAGGTCCACATTTGTGTGGCCATTTTTTCTGCAACCTTTTTGCAGCTGTAAACACCAGAATTTCCCCATTGTGGGACAATAAAGGGATTTTCTATTCTATTCTATTCTGTTCTATTCTATTTAACCAGAAAAATCACAGTGAGATGACTAATCTCTTATTCCATGGAGTTAAGACAGCAGGACAGATCACAACAGTTCAGTACATTACAGACAGCTGAACCATTTTAAAAACATTTATAAACCATGGATTCATTTTCCAAACCTTTGAGCAGGAGTTAAATCTGGTCTATTGGAACCAGTTCCTTTAATTTCCAGTCTTTTTGTAAATAGTTCCATGTTATTGGGGCAGAATACCAAAATTTTATTTACTGCTATGCAGATATTTACCACAGACAGTAGCTGTGATTCTTTTGAGCTTCAATGACATTGGAAGGCATCTTGAAAGCCCATTTACTATAAAACCATTACTGCTTTAATTTATATGATATAAAGGTTAATCTTAGTCAGCTCAGATGTTGAAAGAATTTCAGAATTTGACCCTTTTTAAGGTGTTGATACAAAAATGAGATAAGGATTTTGCCAAATTGATTAAAACATAAAACTAAATTATTCTTTTCTTAAACAACCACTAAGCCGTATTCTTTGTGATTGTATCCTGAACAGCTTTTTTACATTTTGAAAAATCAATAATTAATCAAAGGGATTAAAAGATAGTTGAAATTTTCATAAATTGGCACTCAGTTATTAAAATCTTGTAATATACTAAGTTAGAGTCTGTTTATTGTACTTTTTTTCAGATGCCTTTTCCAAATAGCAACACATTTTACTTAAGACATTAACTGCTGATAGATGCACATGCTTATTTTATAGAATTTCCCTCTATATTTTAGAGCATTTTGATTTAACACAGTCAAACGACCAGAGCAAGTTACTTCATATAAAAAAGAACAGAAACTTTGAATATGAACAAGTAATTTTGATTTCTTAAAGTTCTACTTGCATATAAAATACTTATTAATGGAGAATTGAGTCTATTCGTTTACAAAATCAATTAACTAACATTCTGTACATTTTTTCTAATATATTTTTCATTCATTTTGTTTTTATCCACAAAAATAATCTAAGAAATTGTGTACCGGTATTTGAAATGTTTGGCCCATGCCATTTTGTGGACATCTAACTCTCTCACCACTAGATGTCACTGTCTCATCACTTCTCAATCTACATCGCTTCAACGTTTGCAGCAATGGTTGGCACTGCGTCTCCACCCTGGGTTTTAATATTTTCTTTGTCTATTGTAAGTGTAAGTTCTAATTTACATTTTCCTTCAAAAGTCTAAAATTCTTAAAAGTCTATTATGTTACTACGAAACATAAATTCAGCATTTCAGGTACACGGTACAATTACAAATAACAATTTGTGGTAAGAAATGTCTAAACTGTGACATATTCAAATTAGAATAGCGCTCCAATGAGGCCCAATAATAAAATCAAATGTACCTTTTAAAAACAACATTTTAGAAAGAGTTACTAGTAGGCTACTTATCAACAATCCTAATTCCTATATTAAAATGTCTGTTCTTTATGTATAACCGTGTAATATAAATTGTTACACTTTCTTAAGCTGTATAAGCGATAACTCAGCATCATTATGAATAAAACAGTCTCTGTACTCTATGTTTTGGCTTGCTTAGTGAATTGAGAACTGATATAAATGAAGCTTTTATAAATTTAAATGTACTTTCCCTTGTGATTTTTTAAGGAAAAAAACCCTTTTGTAGCTAATTAAAGTCAAAGATATTTATAAAGTCTAAAATATTTCAAGATCCACAGGTAAGGTAAAAGGTTGCACCTGAACGCAACGCAACATTTTGGAGATATCGTCATTGTCTTTGAACGTACCATCGCTGAATCTTTACCGGCAAATTTGGACCCGCCTCGATTTTTGAAATGACGTTTCTCTCAGCCAATGATAAGCGTGGAAGACCCCCGGATGACCAATTATATTCTTGGAATCACGTCACCGAAGGCGGGCCTTTCTTTGCAGCAGGCTCCGCTAACAATAGCCTGGGCTCGTCAAGTTCTCTGGTTAAAAAGGAGCAGCCAGGAGGGCGGCGGAGCGGAGCAAGTCTGAGCCGACAGGGAGAGACAGAGTTTGGTGGATATATGAGACGGTGTGACACACTGACGGAAAATTACCACAAAATAATTTCGGGATTTACATTTGCTGACAGACCAAGTGGTGAGTATTTTTTTACTATTTTTCCAGCCGTTGGTGCGGATTCAGCAGGCGCGGCGGTGCGCTTTGATCTAAGAGGCTAATTTCCCTGATAATCAGAGGGTTAGTGCTTACTGTAGTGGACTAGGAGCACAACATTGCCTTTGTGTTCATTTTCTACACGCACAGTCCCATGCTGGGTGATGGACATGCACTTAGTGTGGACTTTTAGTCTGGAACGGTGAGGTTTTAGCAGGAGGCGTGGGTGGTGTGATTATTTATTTTATTTTACCGGCTACCTCCCAGATCTCCACTTGGCTGAGTGAGTTTAACTGTGCAGCTGAAAGCATGAATGAATGAATGAATGAACTCTTCACTTTCTCACTGCATAGCTGTCTTCTGTTTGACCCTAACAACACAAATTAGACCCTGGGATTGTGTTAATGTAATCCTGAAATCAAATACAAAAAGGAAACATGTTTAATTACATTTTTGGGGGGTTGAAATTACTCATAAGTATGCAGTGTGTGTTTAAAAAATAAGATATGAATTTACCTATACATTGCAAGTGCAATGCAGGTTACATTACGGGCTGTTTTATGCGGATGATTATGAAAAGGCAGTGATAAAGTATATAGTTGTTTTTTTTTTTCAGAAAAAAAGGAAAATCTGAATTATGTGACATGCATTAGTAGTTAGTCCTGAGTCATTATGTTGCAGCTTTTACTGTGACAACAGCTCTAAGTGTTTTGAGGCATGTCTGTACCTGCTTTGCACATCTAGAAACTGGCATTGTTGTCCATTCTTCAAACTAACAATGGATGAGTCTGTAAAAAGCAACTTTAACATTTTGTCATAATTTAATTGTTCTGGACTATAGATTGATACAGTTTTTTATAAAAGTCTGATATCGATTAGTTTAACAAAAGTCATACCGATGCCAGATCTATACTGCTGATTTTTTTTTTGGTGTGTGTGTGTGAGTCTCCCTATGTTTACATGATCACAATGTTAACACATTTGCAGAGTGGTGGCCTAGTGGTCAGGGCATAGAGCTTGGAATCCTGAGGTTATGAGTTTGATCCCCACTCCCACAAACGGCCACTCTATGTCCTTGAGCAAAGACCATTAACCCCACACTGCACTGCATGATGGCAGCCCACTGCTGCTCAAGGGGATGGGTTGAATGCAGAGGAAAAATCTCCAATCTGCGATCAATAAAGTTAAATTATTATTTACTGCTTTACTCCAATCCGTTCTGTTAAAGATCCAGTGTTAGACCATTTGTCCTGCTTCAAGGTGAAAAAAAAAAACTAAAAGAAAACTAACCAGCTTCCCTGTCACATCTGAACAAAACTATTCCCATATCATGATACTGCCACCCCTGAGGAGCTTTACAATAGTTTGTTTTATGAAGGCAAAACATTCAGTTTTTGGCCTCATCTCAGCATCTTTGTTGGGTTCCTTCCTCTTTTCTATTTGTAGAGAGCATGACAGATTTTCTTAGTAAACCGTGGATTTCAGCAGAGTTACCTTGAGCCTCCTAACTGCCTCTCTGGTTAATTCCCTCTTTGCCTTGCCTGTCTAAATATGCAGACTGTCATGTTTTCTATTTCTGCAATTTTTCCTTAAAATTTCTGTGTTCCATTGGTTTATAGTGTTCCATGGCATTTTACAAGCTCATGACATTGTTTCCCTGGGTTTTCATGATGCTGATTTTTTAAATTATGTCTAATGTAGGGATGATCTGATCCTGTAAATATCTGAAATGGGTCTGAGATTAGCCAAAAACAAATTTTAGATCACATCTGCCTAAATATAAAAATTCCTGTATAAAAAAAGCTGATAGAAACACTGCGTCTGAATGATTCAGTTGTTCTCATACCAATTATTGTTGATGAATCTCCGTTTGAGTGGTGTCACTTGTTTGAGCCTTTTTCTAAAATTCCAGGTTACGAATGAGTTTTAAAATTATGCAGGCTTCATGCTTATATCGTGTCAGGTCAATATTGGTATCGTATTTGAAATGAAAAAGTTTCCCTAAGTTTAATGGAACAGATCCCACTAGAAATCAACCAATGATTTTGTTTTATGACCGATGCCAATAACGATTATTTTGGCATCAGTCTAACTGATCCCTGATATGTGCTGTCCGTTATTATGATTATTCCTTTTTTTAGACCAATGTTACTTTTTTCTTCCACCCTAACATAAAAAAGACAACGAAAAAAAATGCATTAGTCTCAAAGGGCAATTAAATAATGATAATAATTGTAATTAAAAACCTTTAAAGCCACCCATCTTTCACCTTTTCTGATCTTCCCTATTATGTGTCTCTCTATGATGTTAACTCACAGTAAAATGCATTAAAGATTGTAGGTATAAAATCTCAACAGACTGCAGGCCTTGGCAAAGTACTGTGTATCTGGTAAGATATCTGGTTAAAATGTAATCAAACATTCCTGTGAAGGCAGCGTGTTGACTTTACAGTGACCTCATTGTGCTTTGCACTGCCTGCTGTGTCTTTGACTGTAGAGAAGAAGCAGTTTCTGGTTGTCTAGGGTTCGTGCAGCACTGTGCTTTTTCCACATGGCTCAGCAGAAATCCCAGTACATCTTCGCATCCATGCAAGTTAATTTTGTGGGTTTGGCCACTCTGCTGCACAGACATCTGCTACATTGCATTGATTGGAAAGAAACCAGGACACGTTTGGCATTCTTTAAATTAGATTCACAAGCTAGATCTGCCCTTAGTGCTGCTTCTTGACTCTTTAGAGTCAGCACCAGCTTCTAGTCAGCTGACACATTTTCTGTTAGGGTTTCTGAGTTAATGCTCGCTGAGGCAGACAATTCGTCTCAACTGTTCTGGATTAGGATTTGAGCAACTTCAAGGAATGGTGCCTTTGTCTTAAATTGGGTATTTACCTGGTAAAGCATCCATATAATTGACTGGTGTCTTTGATTGTACCAGCGTGCTCCTTAATATCAGTACGCATGCATCATAATTAGTCATTAGGTGTTTAGGCTTTGTTAATCCATCATTTCTTTGCATACATGATATTTTCTCTTAAAGGGTCCTGATGAAGAAGAGTCTGGACATTTACGAAAGTTTTCTTTTTGAAGCCTGTCCTTTAGATTTGACTCTTAAAAATTTAAATAAAGACCTCGCATAGGACCTAATACTTTATGCCATTGTCAGCTTGCATCTTTTGCTGATGCAAACATTGTATTTTCTGGTATTTTTTTCATAGATTAAACTAAGATAGAACAAGCTGTATCTCTATGAGAAGTTGTCTGTGTTTAAGAGTCTAAATATTCAGTTTAAAATTGTTTATTGCTAAAGGTCAACACTGGTTAATCCCTTGAATTTGCTAGCAAATGTGTGGTCGATGATTCAAAGAACAAAGACTGAACTGTGTTATTAAGTGCGTATATACAATCCAACATAAAAGGAGGGCAAACCAGAAGGAGCATTTGTATTGGTAATTGTAGCAGGAATAAGTAGTGGTAGCAGCATCTACACCTATTACAGAGAGACTTTTAGCTGCCAGACTGTTATGGCCCCATGTTAGTGGTTGGACGATTTAAGTGAACAAAAGTGACAGAAAAAGCAAGGAGCTCACCTGTGATTGATTCCCAGACTTGTTCGTAAGCGGAGCTACGCTACTCAGAACATTCTTGAAAGTCCAGTTCAAAATGGGGCTATATGTTTTGCAAAAAATAAACATTTATATTATATATGCGATAATGATTCTAATTTTCCTTTGCTCTGACCACAAGCATGTAGATGATTTACTCAACCCTGAAGACGTGTTTTCCTGACTACATTGTCACAGGACTCTTACTATTGTGTGGAAAATGCTAACATTTACTTGCATACATGGATCTGATTGCTGACTGAAACTCTCTTTCCTTTAGTGTGAAGGAAAACCCACCTTTAATGTATTACCGCCACTTAAAGGTCAGAAGGGAGAGTCTTACTGCTCTTAAATGTAGTGTGATCAAAACTGAGTTCCTCTGTGTGGGAAAGTTGAGTTTTGTTAAATTGTAATTATATTGCAGATACAATTAACTTTCCAACTTTCTAGTGCAAAGTAAGGTCATTGCAGATTACCCCATTATTATGTTCAGAGATTTTTTCTCTCTCAAGAGGAGTCGAAATAAACCTATAAAAAACAAAAAATTACATCTCAACTGTACCGAATTCAAAGTAGAAAGCAGTCCATTTTTTTCTGCTTAACATACCCGAGAAAATGATCCAACTTCTCATTTTAACAAAGTTCTTGTTTTGTATTTGATTGGTACTTGCTAGGGCTCCACAGTATATCAGTGGGTAGCACTGCTGCCTTGCAGCAAGAAGGTTCTGGGTTGTATTCCTGGCCCAGGGTTTGCATGTTCTCCCTTTGACTCGGTTTTCTCCGGGTACTCTGTCTTCATCCCCAAAACCATGACTGTTAGGTTAACTGGCTTCTTTAAATTCTCCTTAAGTGTGATTGTGTGCATGAATGTTTGTCCCTGTTGTCCTGTGATAGACTGGCGACCTGTCCAGGGTTTACCTGCCAGGGTTTACCTGCACCCCTTGCGCCCCCAGCAGGGATAAGCGTGGCAGAAAATGGATTGGACTTGCTATAGCCAAGTACTAGCCTGTCAATACTTGAACTCATACTTGGGTTGGAACATTCTAGGTATATTTCCATCCCAAATTGTCTTCTAATAGTAATGGAATAATTGTTAATTTGAGTTTTTAGACTTTAAAACATGCAAAGCGTCTTTACTTTTATCCTCAGTGGTTGTTGAATTTAGTTTTTGAAGTAAACAAATATGTTAGAACCCTTTAAAAAGGATCAGTTGGAAATTCAGACCTCAGAGAAACCTGCACATATGTACAGGCCAGTAGCAGACTGCATGTCAGGAGCATCCTATGTTGAACTGAGTAGGTTTAAGAGGCTATAAAGGAGTTAAATCCAAACTTGCACCATAACTCCTCAAGACAATGATAAAATCATAATATCTGCTTTGATAGAT